ACGTAGCGTAGCGACATCTTGCATTGTAAGCTAGGGATTTATTCTATTGGTCTGCCAATCAAGCTGCAGCATGCCGAGCATGCTGCTGTGGTCGCATTTGACCGACCCATTTGAAGAACACTGTTTCAAAAGTAGTTTGATCCACGGGTTGCCTTGCGACTTTAGCGAGGTGTGGCTGTCAGCCTAGTCCAGCTTCTGCCAGATCCCCAAGCTTTGCCTGTGGCTTGCTGAGTGTTAGCGTTTGGTATTTCGGTTTCAGGGTTTAGGTTTTAGGGTTTCGGGTTTTGGGTGTTTTGCCTGTGGCTTTCCAAGCGCTACCTGCCACAAGTGGAAGTATGTCAGTCAGCATCAATGTGCATGACTTGTTTTGCGCGGGCTCTGAGGACTTCATACTTATATACAGCTCTTAGTATAGCCCCTTACAGTATATGGACGGTTACCTCAGACCCTAAACTTTATATAGCCGTCAACATGACCCCTGAAAAGAACTTTGGAGAGCTGGCCGGCTGCATCGTTTTCTCGAGTAAAGTGTGGCGGGCATGCTGCCAGATCGTTTTGGCAGCTGCTCTGCCGAAGCGCATCCCGTGACTGCATCCTTGCTGCAATTGCAGCAAGATGTTGGAAAGAGCACTAGACATCCACGCCTGCATAGACCTAGGCAAGCAAGATTAAACTTGGCGGTTGTATGTTTCTGGCATTGGAGTATGGCTTCAAACGAGTAGTATTGAACTGATTTGCTTCTTTTGCGGCTCTGTTGGCGTCACGGCTCAGTTGAATGCACCAAAGGCATGCATGGCCAACTGAGCACCAACAAATTCTTTCAGCCCTTTCAGTATCCACGATATCAAGAAAACTTCAGTCAAGCTTTTTGTTTGGTGCCTAGCGCCAGGAGCCTATGTGGGAGTGCCCAATCGAGAGACCGCTCACACACACATGAAACTTAAGCGAGCTCAATGTTGTTCCCTGGTCCTGAGCTCAATTTAAACATTCTGAAGAGCAGGTCTCAACTTTGGCAACAAACCCCTGGTGAGTTCGACTCCCAACTGCACAGCTCGCGCGACAGGCTGCACGGAGTGCGGTTCACACACCCCGTAGCGGTCAAAAAAGATGACAAGAGCAGTTGAATCGAGTTGTTGCTGAATGGCATTTAATTTCTTATGTATACCTGAACCAGCTTACACAAATAAAGGCCAATATCAAGAAGTAGAGTTGCAGCATTCATTCTAGAAGCTCATGTATGCTATAGCCATCTAAACCCCATAAAGGGGTGTTACTTAGGGGATTAAATAGGGAACTATATCAGGGGATATTCAGGGGGATACTAGGAGTGTAGACTGTTGCTGATGTGAGATGTGCAGGCGCCCACTGGCCCAGTGGTAAGGTTCAAGACCGCAGCCATTACAGTCAAATCTTATCGCCTTTGCTGGAAAGCCACCCTAAACCCCTAAACCCTAAAATCCTTACAGCAGTCCCTGCAATGATGCCCAAAAACCAGAGTTGCTGTTAAGGAACTCACATAAGAGTTGCCTCGCGTCTTGAGCGTTGGCCCTTTGCAAAAGTCAGCTCCACCTGAGCTGTCTGAACTCCGTTCAAGGGGTTATAGAAGGGTTAGGGTTTAGGGTCTAAACTCCCTAAAGGGGGTCATATTATAAGTTTGAACGGGGCTTATGTAGGGGATTATATAGGAGATGAGTATGGGGGTCAGGGGGATACTAGGAGTTTGGAGTATAGCTCACCTAGTATTAACACTCCCCACATCCCACTCCAAGATGTGATGTCTTCCCGTAATGATATACCATGACACGTAGGAACTACTTAGTATTAGGGATGGGGTTTTGTTTGCTAGTATGGGGCCTGTTAAGACCTCAGAAGCTCGTCTGCCTCTGTGACCACCCTGACCATGCAACCCGGAAGCAACCCATACAACTTCTATTGGGAGGTTCATGGGTAGTTTGAGGTGGGGCTGTAATTGCACGTACTTGCAGGTTTAGGGTTTTAGTTCCCCTTAAGTAGATAGAACATAGCTTTGGTTATATTAGAATAAGATCCCCATATACCCCATATTCTATCTACTTAAGGGGGACTATAGCTGTACTTGAGAATATCTATGAACAGTCAAGCAATCAGTTCCCGGAATGGGGGTTTGCATGTTGCCATGTCTTGAATTCGCTGGCAGATGGCTAAGCCATGCCAGCTGAAGCTGATACTGCCGCCCTAACTCCTGGGGTTTCTCGCTCGCAGCATGTTTGTTTGACATTGGTTTAGGGGTTAAGGGGTAGCAGGCTACGAGGCAGTAAACTTGTAATACTAATATGTTACCAATGCATTATGACCTGCCGGAATGAGGTATGGAGGGTTTGCATGTCAGCTCAGTCCCCCTCACCAAGTTGTAGCCTTTCCCAAAAATCTGTAGATTTTCGTTTTTTCCAGAAATCCGTGGCTTCTCGCAAAGCATTACGCTTTCCGCAAAAATCTGTATGATTTGGCTATTCGGGTCTACGCCCCAGACAGAAGCTAAAAATCCCAAACGCCTTGGAACGTTCGGGTCCTGTCAAGATTACACGCAAAATTCTGCTGATCGTTTCGTTGCCACGTTGTTACGGGGACGGAATTCTTTCTTGGGGAGTGTTTGTAGCTTAGCTGGGCTTTCTCTTTCTCTTATCTCAACCAGCAGCATTCGCCAAGGCCAAGGCGCCAGCAAAAGCGCAGAGCGCAGCGCGATGTCCCAGGGCAGCAACTGCAGAGATGCTTTTTCTCCTGGTTGCAACCCTTGCCCCTCTTCACACTTCACAGAAAGCGCCAAGGTTGTTGTGAAGTTCAGTACTGGTTAAGGATGTGAGCATGAATCACCCACGACCCTTTGCAGAGGGCGCTCTGCGTTTCAGAGCAAGGCAGACAGACAGACCCATAAAAGTTGAGAGATGGCTTACGTCAAGCAGTAGGACGATCGTACAGTTAAGTGTTAACTTGGAGGGTGAAAGGGACTTAGTGAGTAGGTTTACAAGTGGAAGAGCTTGGGGTACTATATGGGTTACAGGGGTTATTAAGCTAATTGCTATTTGCTAAGTCCCCATGACCGTCCAAGTAGGGTTGTGGATTTAGGGAGATTCTGATTCAAGTCAGGATTGTTTTAAAGGGCAGCTGTCAACAAGAATGGCAAACATAGTTCAAGCTAGGTGGGAGTTTCTTCAAAATGAGATTGCTTATGTGGTAGTTTCCTTAAAAAAGGGGACCCAAGAATAGACCCCTCATGGAGCTGAAGAGCAACGGCCATGATTCTCACATAGTCGCTATGAAGCCTGGGGTCCCAAGGGTACTGCGCGAGCCTAGATGAATACGTAGTCTCCTTTTGAATTGTTTGTCTTTCTTTGCGTACAACCTCGGGAATTATTGGAAATTATGTTTGTATTATAGGTTGAGGGGGTTACAGAATTACCCATATTAAAGGTTGGTATCAGTAGTATTGTATAGTGTGCCTCAGATAGAACTCAAGAGGGTATTCCTAATTATTTGGGCCCCTTATATTCCTGCATATAACCCTTCTATAAGCACAGTTGCCAATTAATTTTCCATGTTCTTTCCATGTGATGGTCAATTATTGGGCCGATATGTCTAAATCCTATATAATCCATACATAATCACCTAACCCCTATGTGATACAGTCAATATTTAGGCCCCTGTACTACCTTGTTTCGACGCACCCTGAAGCCTAAACAAACCCTAAGCCCTAAGGTCACCTTCTGCGACTCTTAGGGCGCGTTGCGCAGCGCGCTGCAGAGCTATCTGGGCGCATTCGCATCATCGCAGCCCGGATTGGAAATGGAGCTTCCCCAACAGTGACATCACACCATGTACCCGTAAATATTAAAATCCTTATTATGGGCACTCCAAAGACCCACCTCAATTTTCAGAAGCCCTCAGTTGGAGCTTCCAAGATTTGAGTGCCTCTTTATGCGAATCTCTGGGTTCTTTCGTCAGTGTGGGATCTACATTGGCGGAAGTGGACGAGCTGGGGCTTAGGGTCCCTAGGCAGCCCCAAGAAGTAGCTGGATCCTGCCCGTAAGGTTACATCATCCATGAGACTGGAGCCCTGAAGTTGGATGGTGATGCTGCCCCCACTAAGTAGCAGTTGGAGAAGATTTCAGGGTTTTGGTTATGATCATGTGACATATTTACAGTATATTTAAATATAGATAGCCATTACATGCCCCATTACAGACTGTCACCGAGAGCGTCCGGCAGCCAACCTCTCAGGTTTCTGATGAAAATCTCTACGATTGGGACGTTGCTTGACTGACGACCGCATATTTACTGAGGGTTGCTAGGGAATAGGGGAATACAATCCCTAAATAGTCCACATATAGTGTATTCCCTTATTGCTTACTGACCCGAGACCCTAAGCCATAGATAGTAAGTAGGTTCCATTATATTATACAGGGATTTTATTCGCTTATTCCCTACTGAGAGCCGAAAAGTATAGACACGATCCCTACGTAAGCCTTGATTTTCTAGGGCCTCCCTTTTGGGATTTAGGATGAAGGGCTCACTCTTACCACGGCCTCTGTGCGGATGCCCAAATTCAAGCCTACACCGGAGTTTATCAATGGCTTCTTCGTGTAGCCCCTAAGTATCCCTGAGCCATTTTGAGAAGGTCCCAAGTATCCCTGATAAGGTTTAGAATCAAAGACCGGCACGTATGTGGGCTGTGTGTTGCAAGCTTGCTGGGCTCTTGCTCAGGATTGCCCTGCCCCATGACAGAACCAAATATGTTGTACATTGTACACATGTATAGAGTATATACGCGTGTATGTATATATATGTATATGTATGTATACATGTATAAAGAATAATGATAAATTATATGTATAGATATTCAAGTTCACACACAGACCACTTGCCTCTGTCCAGCTGAGGTGGAGTTTCGCTTGCCGATTGAGACTGGCTTGGGGGCTCAACTTGCTGAATACAAGCTGCGAACGCAAGCTCCAGATGTTGTTCTGATGAGATTCCGCTTTCCCGAAACTTTCCCTGTTTACCCACCAGTCCTTTCCTGCGTTCGACCTCGCCTACAAGTCAAAGATCATCTCAGCAGCGCCCTGCCACTCGCCGACAATGGTGTTGTCCGCCTGCCACAGCTGTCCACGCAACTCTGGAGGAATGACCAGGAGCAGTTGGAGAGCCTTTTAAAGCCCAAATTGGGGTTATAATGGGATAATGGAAAAGAAAATGGAAACTACTGTAGTAGATTGGGGTTATATTGGGGTGATAGATTTAGGGAGTTTCCCAAAATTGTAGCCCTTTGAGGGTTCCTGTGGTTTCATCCTTTATCTTTGGGAGCTATAGGGGGCAACCCCACAGTGAGAAATTTCCAGGACTTGGTGGAAATCGCGTTGCAGGTCTACATGATCCTATCATCTGATGGGTTTACATTGGATATGTCAACCAGATCCTATGCCCCTCCAAGTGCAAATGCCGGATTGGGATCTACCGTGAAGCTTCCGACACTGTCCCAATGTATGGACCAATTCCCGGCTTCATGCTTGGAGAGTGTTTCAGAAATCTTGCCTGAACTTGTTGATATTCCCCCGGGCAGGATTGTTTTATCCCATCACTGCGCCATGGATATCTACCGACGTGTATTTGGCAGTGGGACGCAGAGCACTGCGGCCTTCCATGTGGAGATCAAGAACTGCTCAAACGAAGTTCGTGTGTTCGCTGGCATGGCAGAGGTGTCAGCGTTGCAGGAGCCGGTCGTCTGGATTTTGGATCAAAGGAATTGGCTTATAAAGCTGCAGTCCATCCTAGATTTTCTGATGAGAGTACAAGGTAATCCAATCGAGACCGCATTGCCTCTTGTAGAATTACGTACTTGGAAATTGGCAGGAGCCCATCGTGCTTTTGCCGTCTTGCATGATGCGACAGCTCTTCCTGGTAGATGGAGATCTGGTGCGCATCCGTGCGGTAACTCTTCCGCTCTGTGGCTGCGTCTACTTGCAGCCTCGAAGCCAGGAGTTCTATGAAATAGCAGGTGCTGAACCAGAGCTCGTCTTGCAGGAGTCTTTGGCGCAACTTCCAGCACTTACCTCAGGACTGTCCGTGCAGGTTGAGGTGGGTATTGCCCAGGATTTCAAAATTGGCTTGCGGAGGGTAGCTGTGGTTGTAGCAAGGCTGGAGGACACCTCAGGAAACGAAGTAGTGGCCGCCAAGCTTCCGGGTCATGCGGGAGTGCTCGGAGACCATGAGGTTCAGGTGGAGCTCCTTCCAGCCGCCGACCTGGCTGAAAGCGACAACGAGTACCAAGAAAGGCTGGACGCAGAAGCCAAGCGGCAGGCAAAGATCCAGCAGATGCTTGAAAGCAAGCATAGTCAACTTCAGGCGCAGACGAACATGGAGGCATCGAACAAGGAGACAGACACCAATCTGGGCTCAAGCTTTGAGATGTGCTTCAGGCTGCCAAATGGGAAGCAGATGCGGCAGAGATGTCCAACCGACGAGATTGTGCTAAACTTGAAAAAGCGCTTGTTCTGTCTCCTTGCCTCAGAGGCGAGTTTGTGGAAGCCTGGCGTTGAGCGAGCATCGGCTTTGGACTTCACAATATTTCCGCGTAAAGTGCTGGACAACCAGGACACCGTGTTGGAGATAGGTGACCGAGCAGTTGTCCATGTTTCAGAGAGTGAAGCAGCTTTGCAAGAGGCGGAGCGCAATAAAGAGCTGCTGGGATCCGTGCTATATCCAGCCGAACTGCAAGCAGACATTGCAACGTCTGAGCAATCGGACCTACCTCCGCAGCAAGACGACCCACATCTAGACTTCAACAGCACTTCGCTTCAAACATTACACACCAGTGTGTTGCAAAGTGAAGGCGGGCTAGAAGCACTTCCTTTGCCAGAGCTTCGGACACTGGCTCTGTCTCTGGGCCTGCCTGCTCAAGATATTGCGCGTGCTGTTGATCAGGCAGAGCTGCTGGCACTTCTGACCCGACACCAACGCCGAGTGGCAAGGATAGCTCGAGCCCGAGAAACTTCAGCAACTGCCAGCCGAACTGAACGCAGAGCCTCTTCCTTGTCAGCACGCCGCGGCGTGAGCGAACCTGCTCGCGCACCTGTCCGAAGCAGCCAATCAGTCGGAGCTGGAGCGCGACGATCTGTCGAGCCCAGCCGAGTAGCCTTACCGCCTGAGCAAAGGCAGGCGCCAAATGGCTATGCCGCCCGCTCAGCAAGGCCTCCGCGGGGGAATGGCCCAGATCGACGAAGTGTCCTCGGCGCTGCCACAGCACAGAGGTCGACGACAAGCAGCCCCAACTTGCCAGAGAGCCAAAGAAGCTTACCTCCGCTCCCAAGCCCACCTCCTGCACGTATTCTTGCCGAGGGTCGTCGGCCACCCTTAGGTGCCTCACCGACACATCCCCGGCTTGGAATGCAGCAGCCCTTGAGGCATGCTGGTCACATGATGCTTCAGATGACCGCTCAAGAGCAGTGGAGATAACTCGCTCAGCATCCCCATGTCCAAAGCGACGTGTGAGGCATCCATTGAGTGAAAGGACTTGAGAAAGTGGAGCGAAGGAGAGATAGGAGAGAGAAGCTTGATGACACCAAGTGACGAGAAGTAACAAGGTAAGACTCAACAATAATTGTCACGCTAATCAGAAGGGTCGTAAGAATCATAATGGAAATGCCTCAATATTACGGCGAGGCCACTTGCGGTCATTTCGCTCGCGCGCGGCCTAGGTTTTCTGGCTCACCTTTAAAATGCCTCCAGCAGGCTCCCCAGGGGCTCTAGAATCTCCGAGATTTTTGGTGCGGGCGGCGCGACCAAAAATGTCGGAGATGTTTGGTCGCGCGGCCCTTGCCTCCGGAGCGGTTTTCCGCGTGATTTATCTCTCTTTGGCTGTCTGCGCGGCTGCTCGGCGGAGAGCATAAACCCGGGACGGATAACCAAAATCTTTCAGAATTTATAGGTTAGCCTTGTCTGCTCACGGAGATTGATGCGCTCCCCCGAGCCGCCGCGCAGATAGCCCAAGAGAGACAAATGAGGCGGAAAGACCGGGCTGGATGTGGGGGGCCGCGCGATCAAAGGGCCGCGTGACCAAAAATCTCCCAAGATTTCGAGCCATTTCTCTCTCTTTGGCTGTCTGTGCGGCGGTTCGGTGGAAAGTGAAGACCCGGGGCGGGGATCTAAAATCTTTATCTACATGTAACGTGCGGCCTTTAAATGTTGATACTTCATCGGGCTTCACGCGCGACCTTATATATTGTTTAGTCATCGGATTTCCGGTTATGGGTTTTCTCAGATGAATATTTTCTGCTGCAGGCAACGGGTCATCTCTAGTATTAGCTATTGCTTTTTAATAGCAATGAAAATAATAAGAATATTAGTCATAATAATCGATTGATATCCCAATAGCATGCAGCTATCCCAATATCCGAATCATGAAATCTTTTATACGAATTATATAGAATTTAGGATTGGAGGATAGACCCTCTCTAGAATAGAAGATCAAATATAAAATTAAATAGAAAAATGATATAGAATATAGACTTATATATATATATCGTATATAATTCATATATATTGATTCATTCAACCGATATATTAGGAATTTCGGACATTCTATTCATTTGAAATCTTGAATTTTCGGGCTCTAAGCCTAGATAGGAAATTGATCTATTTAATATTCTATTGATATTTGGATCTATAAATTTTATTAATCTCATTTGAGAATTATATATTTTAGATTATAAGAAGATATTTCGCAAATCTAGGATTTTAATATTAATTCTAAATCTATCTAGAAACGAAACTAAAAATTGAAGGAAGATTCATGATAGAAGGAATTGGATAAGATTCTTTAATATTAAGATTTGAAAATATATCGAAAATATTATGATTCATTTTGATTGATTCTAAATATTTTAATTTATGAATATAGAATATTTTAGTAATATGACATGACTATTTAATTCTATTTGGCGCACACGATTTAATTTATCTAGAATATTTTCTGCGGGCGGCATGGGGATTCTAAAATCTCCGAGATTTTAGAATTCTTCGGAAAAATTCGAGATTCTGCAGCGAGATATTTGGCGCGGGCGGCGCGATCAAAAATCGCGGAGATTTTTGGTCGCGTGGTCTTTGTCTCTGGAGCGCTTTTCCGCGTGATTTATCTCTCTTTGGTTGTCTGCGCGGTTGTTCGGCGGAGCGCGTAGCCTCGGGACGGATATTCAAAATCTTTTAGAATTTATTGATTGGTCTTATCTGTCTACGGGGATTTACGTATTCTCCCGAGTCGTCGCGTAGATAAATTGAGAGAGATAAATGAGGCGGAAAGATTGGGTCGGATGCGGGGGCCGCGCGATCAAAGATCTCTCGAGATTTCGATTCATTTCTCTTTCTTTGGTTGTTTGCGCGGCGGCTCGGGGAAATATAGAGATCCGAGGCGGAGATCTAAAATCTTTTAATATCTATAGATTGATTGGTTTTATCATCTGGAGTTTTATATATTGATTATTCTTCGGATTTCATATGCGATCTTATTTGATACGCGTGATATATTTCTTTAGCTCATTACGCGATTATTCGACGGAATATATAGATCTGAGATAGAAAATTAAAATCTTTCAGAATTTATAGGATAATCGTATCTATATATAGGGATTTATATATTTCCCGCGCAAATAATCTAAAATAATCTAAAAGAGATAAATGAGGCAGAAAGATCGGGTCGCATGCGGGGATTGGGCAAATGAATAAAATTCTTTCGTATTTCATATGAGATCTTATATATTCTGCGTGATTTATCTCTCTTTGATCATCGACGCGGCTAATAGGAGGAATCCGTAGACCCGGCATAGATAATTAAAATCTTTCAGAATTTATAGATTGACCTTATCTGTCTACGGGGATTTCTGCGCTCCCGGGAAGCCGTCGTGCAGATAGTCCAAGAGAGATAAATGAGGCGGAAAGACCGGCCTGGATCCAGGAGCCGCGCGATCCGAAATCTCTCGAGATTTCGAACCATTTCTCTCTCTTTAGTTGTCTGCGCGATTTCGGCGGAACGGGTCTCAAATAGAGATCCAAAATCGTTCAGAATCTATAATTTTGTCGTTTTTATCACGTGCGGTCTTCTATGATGATTATTCATCGGATTTCACGGGATTTCATATGAGAATTTATATATTATTTATTCCCCGGATTTCTCGTATTAGGAGCTCTCAACTAAATATTATTCGTTGGCATAGTCAGCGGGTCAATTCTAATATATTCTATTCTAAAGAAAAGAGAAAATTGATTTTTATCTTTGATTTTCTTTCAATAATTGATAAGATATTCATATAAATATTATATGATCTCTAAAATTAGAATTCAAGGATTTCAAAATTCTTCTTTAATTCCTTATTGATTTTAAAATGAAAAGATATAGGATAAAATATAAATTTGGATTTTAAGGAGAATATATATATGAATATAGAATTATAATATTCTAAGATTTCTTTTTAAAAATAATTAGATCTTAAAGGGAATTATATAATTTCAAATCAATCTATAAATATAGATTTGCAGGATTCTAAGATATCTCTTTATCTTATTTTTGGATTGAGAGAAGAATTTATATAAAAGAAAAAATATATAGAATTCTAGGATTCTAAATATTCTCTTGAATTCCTATCTGGAATTTAATAAGAAATTCTATGAAATTATCTATAAATATAGAATCAGAAGATTCTCATTTCCCTTTATTTCTAATTGAATTTTAAAAAGAATCCATTCAAATTAATATTTCTAATTAAAATTAGAATTTTAGAATCTATTTTGATTCCGTCATTCTAAAATATCTTATAGAAAATGAGGTCGTTTTAATATTGATATCTAGGATTTCTATCTAGCTCTGAATTAGATTTTAAAAATAAATTATATATAATAATCATCTTACAAATTATATGTCCGAGATATCAGATTATTATCAATTTTCTTGATTTCTTCGAAAAGATATTAATATAGATGAAAAATCATATTAAAATTCAGAATTCTAGGATTTCAAGATTTCTCTTTAATTTATAATTAGATGAGGAAAGGAATATATATAAGATAAAATCATCTGCAAAAATAGAATATTAGGATTCTATAATTTCTCTTTAAATTTAAATTAGATATGCTAATAATAGATTTTAAATAAAATCTCCGATTAGAATTCTAAGATTGATCTTTGTTATCTAATAATTTTTTATAAGAATTTCTAGAAAATTAAATCATCTCCGTATTTAGAGAATTCCAGGATTCCGAGATTTCTCTTTATTTCCTCATTGATTTTATAAGGAATATATATAAATCAAATTCGCCTCCAAAATTAGAATTCTATGATTCTAATCTTCCAAATGGCGGATACGAACTTGGAGCTGGATTCTTGATTCTTCATTTGGAAACTTCCAATTTTGCAAAATTTCTATTCAATTCCCAATTAGATTCAAAATATATATTAAGCAAGGTCTTCTTCAAAATTAGAATTCCCAAGATTTGAGAATTCTGGAGATGAAAGATCTTCTTATATAGATCTTTGGAGAGGGAGATGGAAATGAATGATATTTGATATTCAATATTAATCTATCTATATTCTTCTTTATCAGCTCTGAATTATAGCATATTTCTATTTATCATATATGATATTAGAAATAGAAATCTAAAATCGAAATATAATTTCATTTCTTTAATTTTCAAAAGAAATAGATGTCTGAAGCTGATTCTAGATCTTTATCAATGAGAAGATATCATTGAAATCTAATATTTGATTAAAATTCATAGATATATGAAATATCCAATCATAATTATATGATTCTAATATTAAATAAGATTCCGAATAATATTTTCTATTTTTATCTTCTAGATATTATCTCCTCTCATAATATTATTTCCTATATTCTTATAAGATTCTAATTCTTATATAGAATAGTATTCGTAATTCATATATGATCTTTGGATACGCCTTTGATCGTCTCAAAAATAGCCTAGATATTGAATCTAATCTATAAATGATTTTGATTTTAAAATAAATTCGGAAGTTCCCGTCCGGAATGAATCGCGTTTCTATTTGAATCAAGTTCCCATATAGAATATCTTCGCAATTCCGGATTTTATCTTATCATATATTATTCTCATTCAATTTAATACCAATTTTTTGCGTCGTAATAATCTTGATGATTTCAGAAATCGTATTTTCGTATTAAATATTTTCGAATATATTTTTTTTAATCGACTTATCAGCCGAAGAATCAAGTCAAAGTTCGTATCCGCCATTTAGAAGATACGTAGATGAAAGAAAATAAACCAAATTCATATATTATCATAGAAGAAGCAAGGACGCACGACGTCAGCTCCCCAGACCATGCATTAAAGCCCGCCACCGCCCGCCGAACGTCCAGGGACCCAATATCCCGCGGAAACAAAGACAGAAATGGAGATAATGCACGAGCAATTTCTCAGTGAGACCTCCG